ATACTAATTGATTTTCATTTATAAATATTATTCTACAAAGTTATAAAAGCTATTACATTTTGTTTTTTTGCATGTTCATTTACACAATTAACTTGTATATAGTTTTTATCATTATATATTTATTTTATATATTAATAATTACTAATAATCTGTTATATATAATGTAGTAATTGACAAACTCAATAAAATTTATGAAAATCTATATGAAATTTATAATATTTACAATTAAATTAGACTAAAGATAGCATTACAACTAGTTGTAATATTGATAAATAAGCATCACAGGGTTGTAACTAGTGTAACTAGTAACAAATAAGCATCACATGGTTGTAATTGGTTATAACATCATCTTTAAATTAGACTATATAATAACTATTAAAAGTTTAATTCTTTTAAACCAACCAAATTATATAAGGAAGATAGTTTATTTAACTCTTTAGAATGGTTTAAAAAACTTTTGTCTAAAAATTCAAGTGATAAGATTTTGATAAAAAGTTATCTTACTTATAAGTATAGATTATATATAAACAAAATATTTTTCAAATACATTTTAATTTATTATAAGAAAATAAAACTGATACAATTTTTACTTAAAATTATAATATATTTAATATTAATATAATAATAGGATTATTTTTATTATAAGAATGACAATTTAATTACAAAAAATTATATAGAGTTAAATCTATACTTATTAAAATCTTATCATATCATTTATGTTTATATGATTAACAATTTTAAAAATAGTAAATAAAGATTTTCTGTTTTTTTACAAATTAATAGAATAATAATTAGTGACTTTATTTTTAGCAAAACAAATATTTTAACATTATTAACATAATAATAGATAATTTGTTAAATTAATTTCTAAGTTTATATAGTATTCTGATTAGATTAATAGTTGTAATTCATTTAGAATATGAAGATGAGAGATAATATGTGATATATCTTATACAAGAGTTATGCATACATTTTAGGTATTATTATCTTCTATTCTAGTATCACTTTTATTAACTGCCTTTATTATAAAAGGAATGATAACCTGGTTATTGTTTGTTTTGATTGCCTTAAAAAATCCATCAACCTTGTGCTGCTTAGTATCAGGTATTATTAGTTCAATCCTGTGAATAAAAGGAGTAGGCAAATACCAAAACTCTTTGTTGTTACTTATCATCCATTATCTAGCACATCCTAGTGCATTCTAAATAATCGATTAATAATATACACAACAGTATCTATTGCATAAGTTCATTTAAGGTCAGAACATTTTGATTTGCGCTTTTGTTGATACATCTAAGTGGATAAAACTATCTATAAAAAGGTTAGCAACAATGAGGGAAAATTTACTACTACATATATAACAATACTTACTAATAGGGTAAAGACTTGTTGCACAATATTATGACCTTTATAACAATAAGAATCAAAATCTTTCTAAAATGAAAGATTTACGAACAAGTGTTAGAATATTAATTCGATTGTATGTATCTTCTATAAACTGATTGAAATATTATCTAACTTTTTCAGTTAGTTCCTAAACTTCCTTTATTAGAGCTATTTCAAACCATAAACGTTATTTATCTAAAGCTCACTCAATTGTCTTCTGCATTAACAAGATCTATTATGTTATTGAGGTATGTTAAGAATATATATATTTTTCCAGATTTTTCCTCTTCTTGTTTGTACTCATTTAAAATCGCAAGCAGTTTACCACAAATATTTATCTCATCTTAGAAAATTAAGTACATTAATATATATTCTATAAGTAAAACTAGCAAAAGTTACAATACCTGAGAAAGGTCTTAGATTTCTTCTGTGTATGCTATATCACCATCTGAATCTTCTATTGTTTCATGACTCTCAAGTGTCTTAGTCTGTTCATAAATGTGTCAAAAAATTTCAATGGCTAAAACTTAAATTCTCTGCTGATACTAACCTTTTTAACCTTCTTATAACCCAAATCCGTAGATTTATCCTCATATATTGTGCTTATCTGATGAATGTGCTAACATCTGAATCTGATATCTAAAATTTATACGAGCTTTCTGTGATTAGAATTTACTTGCCTCGCCTAATAATTCAAGGCTTTCCGTATCAAGTATGCTCCTTAATCCAAGCTTTTATAAAGTTGATCAATGTTGTTTACCCTAACAAAATAATAATAATAAAAAACTGCTCATAGCTTACCTGTTTGCGATCTGAAATTACTTCACGTCAAAATTAATGCAGGAATGAGCTGCATTTACCTGTTTGCAAATAAGGGTGAAGGTCAAGTATTTTATAATTTCAATGCCTCTTTAATGATCAAATCAAAGAACAGAGTAAAGCGGATCGTAAAAGTGAAGACCCAGAAGTCTCCGTATATTCCAGATTTGGTAAACACCATATCTGAAGCTTCCACCACTAACACTTAGGTCCAGTAGATACTATATACTTTACATCCAGTAGACACCATATGTAGAGTTCCCTTTCCGCTAAAAAATAATACTTTTCTTTTTCAGAACTGTTTAATTTCAGGTTTATCTTGCTGACCGCCCACAAATATTTTCTAGACTATGCACCATGATTGCCAATCCAATCGTCTGAGAAAGGTGATACATCGACAATAATAACCTGGTTAAGTCTCAAAAATTCCATGTACGAATAATTCTTAGGATTACGACTTTTCAAGTACACAACACAGGCTATCAAAAAAAAGTAGTTAAGATTTTAGCTTTTTGCTCGCATTGAGTATTTCCTTGCCTGAATGACCAGGATATATTTCACAAGATAATTGTTCATTGGAGATTGTCATAACAATAAACAGAAGTATTATTAAACATATTATTGCGATCACGTGACAAAAAAAATTTAAATTTTACATGAGGTTTTAAAAGACCAGAAAATTTTTTCACTCCCATGTGATATTTAATTTGCCTGCTCAAATATCAAAATTTTTGTTTAAACTTTATTTAAAAAGGCCAAATTCTTAAAATAAATGAGTTTTAAAAAATTTTTTTGCTATAATATTATACTGTATAGTGGTTTTTGATATTTAATGAAACTTATTTAATAACTTAATGAGTCCAAATTTATTTTTCAGAATTTTAATATCATAAAAAAACCTTGCAAAAATCAAATGTTGAACAATCATTCCTAAGTAAACAAAAATAAAAAATTATAAATTTCTTGAATTTACCATTAAAAATTCAATGATTATAATTATAACAATTGTAAAATACCTTAATGAATCCTTTATTCGTATCAATTTTATTGCTTCAATTAACAAAAAATTTGTAAACATTGAAAAATAATGTATAGTGTAAATGATCCTTAAATGTTCGAGGCATTGTCCTTCTTTTGTATACAGTTAATGTTCTTTATAATGAACTGATGGTTCTGTTAAAAAAAAAGTTCATTATATAAATTACTATGCTTTTTATATGAACTATTACATTTTTATAACAAACTATTATTAAAATTTATAAATTGTGAGTTCGTTATATCTAGCGTTCGTTATAAATAGGTTCGTTATAATCAGCTTTGACTGTAAAGTAATTTCAGACATCATAATTTCTATTGGTTTAAAATTTTTTTCAATACTTTTCACCCACCTGAAATTTCTTTATAAAAATTAAATACATAATTAATAAAACAATATTACTAATTTTTCCTTTAAGAATCTCAAGTATTCTTTCAGTTGTAGCTATAGGTTGACTATCTTGTAAATCATTATCTTCATATAAATTATCACCTTTCAAACTTATTATAGATATTTTAAAATTACCTATGGTAGCAATGAAATTCCAAAGAATAAATATTAGTAATAATAGTAACTTGATTAAAAAATTCAATAGGTATTACTTCTTTACATTTTATGAGATATTTATAAATGAAAATTGGCTAGTCAAAAATGCCAGACAACAATTGTTGATATTAGTTAAATATGTATTATTATTAATTATTCACATTGAAAGTTCTTTTTGAAAACCTTTTGCCACTCTTCTTTTCTTTTTTTTTAATAAAATACTTGCTCAAATTTCCTTTGATTATGTGAAATTACCTGCTTAATAATAATAAAAATAACTAAATCTAAGTATGAATGAAAAAAAGTCATGCTTTAGAATCTTTTAATATACTTTTACAAACATATTTATTTTCAATATAGAAATTTTATCATAGCATTCTCTTAACCATAATTTTCAACATTCTGAATTATATTACTTGTTTCACAGATATATTCAAATATCTGGTAAGAAGTATTAAACACAAAAGTTATATGTTTTTTCTACTATTATTGAACAAATAATATCTAAGAAAAGAAATTGATTATCTATCATTGAAATTATTGGATATTGATGTAAGTGTTTATTTATAAATTTCAAATTAATTAACATAATTCTTTTAGACAAAAATAACTTTTATTTTTAGATAAAGTTAGCTTAAATGAAAAAATCAATAAAAGATAATTTTGTTAGAACCATCAGAGCATTATAATTAACTTGTGAATTTTTGCTATTTGATAACTTCGCTAATACTGCTTTTTATATGTCAAAGACACAGTTGTATTTTAATATTCTTTCATACAAAACACATAGCTAAAATTTGGACAAAGTCTTTATCTATTATAAGAAAATTTAGTTTAGTTTACAAATTTTTAATTGAATTAAAGATCAATAATAGATCTAGTTTATATACTATTATCACAATTTCTATTATTTTAAAAGAATAAAATATATCATCAGAAATCTTATACTATTAATTTCAGTTTGAATAATATATAACTTAAATTTTAAATTGTTTGTATTATCTAAAAAATAAATATAAATTTAAATTACTTGAATTAATTTATTTATATAAATAATTATAATGATATATAATAATATATTAATATATTTACATATAGTATCAATTCTAATTTCTCCAATTAAAAATTAAGAATTTGTAATACATTTTATAATTCAATTAAAAACTAAAACTTTTAGTGATTCTTTATAAAATATAATTTTATAAGACTTCTCTTTAAGCTATTTGATTATAGAAATAAAAGCATTTTTATTTCAGTTTTTATCAAGTTCTATCCACTAAATATAAATTTATTTTTAATATTTAGACTATATTTAACAAGTTTTTTATAGGTTTCTCATGAAAATAGATCTATATTTTTTTAATATAAAAGTTTTGATATCTTATAAATTAAAGTATCTGATTGTAATAATATAAAATATATTTTATTTTTATTTTGAATAATGTAGAATTTTCATAAATAGTAATTTTTATGTAACTATTATAAAAAAATAGTGTATTGATGCCTATAATAATGCTTATTAATATCAGGATTTTTCTTTTATTTTTCTTTCAAACAATTTCTTTGAAAGTAATAGTAATAATATGTTATTGCTTTGAGTTTTTACATTATATATTTTATAATAATTTTATAATTAAAAATTGAATAAAATAAAAAAAATTAATTAAATAAATATATATTTTTTATATCTAATATATTCATTAATATTAGAAATTTATTTTTATAATATGATCAACTTAATTTTTAAGATTTTCTTCTAAAGTAGTAATATCCAAAATACATGAAATTTTAAATTCTAAATTTTTACTATACTCATATTTGTCTTTATTATGAATTACATATTCAAACAAATTATAATTATGCAATAAAAATCATAAAAATCATGAAACTTTACTACTATTTGATCATTATATACATCATTTTTCTGTTTAGAAATTAATTTTCATTGATAAATTACTTTATTATAAATGTAACAAGTATTATATAGTAGCTCACAAAAGAAACACAAAATAGTAATATAAAATTTTGCTAATCATTTTATATTACATGATCACATTATGTAATAATACACATATATATTTTTTAAAGTTACAAATCATAACTATTATTTAAAAAATAATTTGAATAAGGTTAATATATAATGATAACTAATATCATTATTCTAATTAAATATTAAATATTATTATTAATTACTTATTCATTGTATTTTTAATTATTTATAAATTAAAAAATTTCATTTAATAATTTTTTTTATTGAATAACACTTTTCAATTACCAAAAATAGAAGATAGATAATTTTTTTTTTTTATTTTATATTATTTTTTTTTTATATTAATTTTTTATAATACAATTTTTTTTTTATTAAAATTTTATAAAATCTAACAAAAATCCAATAAAATTCAACAAAATTCAACTAAATTCAACAATACATTTTTCATAAAATATAAAAAATTAAAATAATTAAAATATTATATTTATTATTTACTATTTTATATATCCACCTTTTTGTAAAAATAAATCATCAACTTATTCTGTCATAGTTTCAATTAGTTTGATACAGGTTTCAAGTTCAATATTATTCTATATTACTTGAAGTTTATCTCAAAGATCATCTTTATTTTTTATATACTTGTGACTGTTTTATAATCATTGATTAACCCTACTTCACATATTTTCAATAGGGTTAAGATCTAGAGATTAGGCTAACCATTCAAGAACAGCTATCTTATTATTCATAATAAGGTTGCCGGGTAAAACCCTGAGATTTCGACAGGCATCGAAATCGAAACAAATTGAAACATTTTGCCAAATTTTTTTATTAAAGGCAAAATTGCGAAAGTTTTGACAGATGGCAAAAGTTTTGATGGTTGGCAAAAGTTTTGACAGAGGCAAATATTTTGACGATGCTATCGGTGTTAACTGATCAGCCTGTTGTGAGTGGTCAGTTCATCAAAAGGAGTTT